ACCCTCCTTCAAACTGCACCTGGATGTAGAGTGCGTCATGGAGACTCAGTGTGCCAAGTTTGGTATTTTTTGGTAATTGGATGAGGGTTGCAGTGGTCTGAAGAATGAGCAATGGTACTGCAAGTCCCATAATCCACGGTCCATCCCCAGCCAAACCACACCAGGACGTAAAGTGGGTCATGAGAGGTCTCTGTGCGAAGTTTGGTCCTGATCAGTCATTGGATAAGGTTAACAGCGGTCTCAGAATGTGAGTGGTGGTACTGCAAGTCCCATCATCCATGGTTCATAGTCCTCCAAACTGCAGTAGGATGTCGAGTGGGTGATGGGGGCTCTGTGTGCCTATTTCGATCTGTATTGGGAGTGTTCTGACCCAGGCCCCGGCCTTTCCTTTCCTCTCTTTCTCATCTCGGAATGTTGGATTTGAGGCTGGCCAATCAGAGACCATATGCAAATTTCCTTCTGTCATGCCCCGTTTCTGCCATGAGCCCTCTTCTCCACCAGGGGCTCCTATTGAAGGTGGCCAATCAGAGACCATATGCAAATAGCACCGCAGCGGCAGCCAATCAGAACGCTGCCACATACTCCTTCCTCTGTCCGATACAAACATTCTCTTTTATTATATATATAGATTTATTATTTCAATCTATTATTACTGTTATTAGATTTCCATTACTTTGCTCTATTATTATTGGAAGGATACGTAAGCACCCTTACATTGAAGAAGGTTAGGATAATGCTTGAATCGGAGTTGGACAGTCTTAAATTACAGTTTATGTAAACATTCAAAAACATTTCACCTACAGATTTATTTATTTATTTTATTTATTAAGGGCATTTTTATCCTGTCCTTCTCGCCTCCAAAGAGGGACTCAGGACAGCGACCAGCAGGCACTATTTGGTGCCAAACAAAATACAACATAAAATACATTTAACCTACATTGAAAACAGTTATAAATACATTAAAACAATACACCATTTAATGTCTTCCTCCAAATCAATCCATAGCCATCCAAACAGTCCATTAAAACCATCTTCAATCCATTGTTGTCAACTAAAAAACAGTCGGTTAAAACCATCTATCCTGAGAACGGTTGATCCCATAACCAGGGTTTGAGCTTTTTCCGGAAGGTCATGAGGGAGAGGGCAGATCTAATCTTGTTAAGGAGGGCGTTCCACAACCGAGGGGCCACCACGGAAAAGGCCCTATCTCTCATTCCTACCAAACATGATTATCACGGCAGGACCAAGAGCAGGGTCTCCCCAGATGATCTTAAGGTCCTTGGGGTTCATAGAGGGAGATACGTTCGGACAAGTAAGCTGGGCTAGAGCCGTTTAGGGTTTTATAGGTCAAGGTTACCTGAATTCTCGGTGGTGGCTCCTCGGCTGTTGAACACCCTTCCCGTGGACATCAGACTGGCTCCTTCCCTGATGATATTCCGCAGGAAATTGAAGACTTGGCTGTTCAAGAAGGCATTTGAACAAGAAGTGCAATAATTGGTAATGACGACAGGAACGGAACAACGGAAAAGGATACTGGATTGTGGCTTAAACGATGAGACGTCGAGATTGGCTTTTTGTATTTTGATATTGTTGATGTTTTTGATGACGATGTTTTTGGTTATTGCTAGATTGATATTTTAGACTGTGTCTTGAATTTTGCACCTTGTCCTTTCTATGTTGTACACCGCTGTGAGTCGCTGAGAACAGCGGTATATAAGCAAAGTAAATAAATAATTAAATAAATAATTCAATTTTATTGGTATCTATTTTTATTTTGGATTTTACCAGTACCTGCTGCATTTCTCACCCTCGGAGTATACTCTAATCAATATATTTTCCTAGTTTTTTGTGGTAAAATTAAGTGCCTCTGCTTATATTTGGGCTGGCTTATACTCAAGTATATACGGTACTTCCCACATGCAAAATAAGAACTTTGTGAGGCATTGGGTCCCAAGTTTTCATGCTTGCGTGTCGCTCTTCTCTGTTCTTCCTCCTTCTATTTGGCCTCCTCTTCCTCCTCCTAATTGGTAATTTTATTTTTATGTTTGAAGAAGTGTGTTGCATTCACGGAAATTGATCTAATGTAAAGCTGAGCCTTGCACTGTAGAATTAATGCAGTTTGACACCACTTTTAATTGCCATGACTCAGTCCAATGGGATCATAGAGGGGTTATTAGTTGCTCACCTGGACGACAACAAGCAGAAGCAGCACAAACCGGGATGATCAGGCTGAACCCTGGAGAGGCTGCTTTGCCTCAAGCCACGTCTCCAAGCACCTGGTAGCAACTTGCTTTACTAAATCATTACTTGGGCTTGTTGATTTCAGGCATCAGTATTATTTACGCATGTAATCAGAGCTCTATAAACAGCCGCAGGGAGCAGTCCGGAGCTTCCTGGAATGGCTTTGGAACATCTCAGAAGGGGTATGGGGTGGGAGAGGGATCCTCCTCAAAGTTGTTGATAGGAGAATAATGCTGTTTGTGTTTAGCTGATGCTGAATGTCATACACACATTGCAGAGCTCTTGATGCGTGATGGGGCAGGAAAAAAAAGTCAAAGCAACATCTGGTTTCCCTTTCTACAACTCTTAGTCTTCTCTGCTAAAGACTAAAGAGTGTCACCAAACTACAACTCTTAGTCTTCTCTGCCAAAGACTAAAGGGCCTCAGCAAACTACAACTCTTAGTCTTCTCTGCCAAAGATTAAAGAGCATCACCAAACTACAACGCTTAGTCTTCTCTGCCAAAGACTAAAGAGCGTCGCCAAACCACAACTCTTAGTCTTCTCTACCAAAGACTAAAGAGTGTCACCAAACTACAACTCTTAGTCTTCTCTGCCAAAGACTAAAGAGCGTCACCAAACTACAAGTCTTAGTCTTCTCTGCCAAAGACTAAAAAGTGTCATCAAACTACAACTCTTAGTCTTCTCTACCAAAGACTAATTTTCCCGTCGCATTGTCCAATCGTTCCGTGGATCTAAATTAGTCTGTTATGCTGCATTTGCAAATGCTTGCTCAAAAAGCCAGGTTTTAACTCTTCAACAAAATGTTAGGAGGGAGAGGGGGCCGATCTGATATCCCTAGAGAGGGTGTTCCATAGCTGAGGGGCCACTGCTGATAAGGCCCTGTCTCTCGTTCCCGCCAATCTGCGAAGGAGGTGGGACCGAGAGCAGGGCCTCCCTAGATGATCTTAAGCTCCTAGATGGTTCATAAGGAGAGATACGTTCAGATAGGTAAGCTGGGCTGGAGCCGTTTAGGGCTTTATAGGCTAAAGCTATCACTGTTGTGACTCAGCTGGAATCAGAGATTGTTTCTGGTGAGGATGATGGGACTCAGGTTCACAGTTTGGTTCAAAATGTCCCTGTGATAGACAGTGAAGAAATGCAGTTTCCCACAGTAAGGCATGAGAGTGTTGATACTGAAAATAGCCAGGTGCAGATTGACTCAGAGAAGGAGGACAGCTCTCAGCCTGGTTCTCAGCATGATAATGAGCAAGCAGGGAAACAGGCTAACACTAACGAACAGACTGACCTTGACGATATGGGAACTTTAGATCAGGCTGACTGGTTGGAATTCTGAATTCGAAGGAGTGAAAGAATAGCTAACAAGAGGGAGGCCAGAGAAACGCCTTCATGTTTTGCAAAGGGTGTTAAAGAGTGTGTTTGAGACCAGATCTTTGTCAAAGCAACTTCACGTTTACCTAAGGAGCTTGCCTAAACTAGGCTGGATGATCTTGCAGTTTTGTTGCTCATGGTTCCAGGACTTTGTCATGTTCTCTTGGGTTTTGCTTTGCTGATGCCTTTTTGGATTAAGCGCCAAGTGCTGTATTATGTTGACCTTTTGGAACATTAACCTTTGCTTTTAAGAACTTTTTACCTTTTTTTTTAATAAACTATAAAGACTACTGGCTGTGTGCAGTTTGGTGTTCTTCAGCAAGGTGAATCTACTCTGAGGTGCGACAAGCACTTTGAATTGTGCCCGGTAGCAAACTGGCAGTCAGTGGAGTTGGTGCAACAGAGGAGTCAAGCAATCAATCACGTTCTATGCAGCCTGTCTTTCCCCCATAGCTAGGACTCACAGTATTATTTCATTTCAGGAACATAGATGTGTGATATATACAACCCTGTCTGACCTTTCTGGTTTTCCTTGTGTACCTGTAGGTGACTTTCCGCCACCACCGCCTCCACCTCCACCGCCTCCTCCTTCGGCAAATGATCCTGGGGCTTTCCCTCCATCCTCCGGCGCCTTCCTTCCCCCTCCGCCTCCTCCAGATGAGGCTCTTTTCCATGTCCAGGTAAGAAAACATGGCTTATCGGTGCCGAGTATTATTGCGTTCCCTTTCTCTCCATTCCTCCTTTTTCTTAATGCAGTTTGCATGGCTGAGAAGGCTGAGAGAAGATATGATAGCCATGTATAAATATGTGAGAGGAAGCCACAGGGAGGAGGGAGCAAGATTGTTTTCTGCTTCCCTGGAGACTAGGACGCAATGGAACAATGGCTTCAAAGTACAAGAAAGGAGATTCCACCTGAACATGAGGAAGAACTTCCTGACTGTGAGAGCCGTTCAGCAGTGGAACTCTCTGCCCTGGAGTGTGGTGGGGGCTCCTTCTTTGGAAGCTTTTAAACAGAGGCTGGATGGCCATCTGTCGAGGGTGCTTTGAATGCAATTTTCCTGCTTTTTGGCAGAATGGGGTTGAACTGGATGGCCCATGAGGTCTCTTCCAACTATTTGATTCTATGATTCTCTTCTTCAGGCTAAAAATGCCCAGCTCTTCAGGCTAAAAGCCGCTCTTCATAGGGCTTGTTCTCCAGACCCTTGACCATTTTAGTTGCCCTCCTCTGGACACATTCCAGCTTGTCAATATCTCTCTTGAATTGTGGTGATCCTATGACTCTGATACTCAAAGTGTGTTCCTCCAGATGCTTTGGACTCCAGCTCCCACAATTCCTAACAAGCTGGTAAGCTGACTGAGATGTCTGGGAGCTGAACTCCAAAACACTTGGAAAAGCAGAGTTTGACAGAGAGATCCGTAATACACAGGTCAGTTCCTGCAATCTGACTCCACCAATGATTACATCTTAAATTCGGCTGTGATGAGAAGGTTTCGCAGCATCCAAGGAGGTGCAACTACATGACCAATACTTACACTGTGAGAGCCGTTCAGCAGTGGAACTCTCTGCCCCAGAGTGTGGTGGAGGCTCCTTCTTTGGAAGCTTTTAAACAGAGGTTGGATGGCCATCTGTCAGGGGTGATTTGAATGCAATATTCCTGCTTTTTGGCAGAAAGGGGTTGGACTGGATGGCCCATGAGGTCTCTTCCAATTCTTTGATTCTATGATTCTATAATTCTATCATTCTATACACTGACAAAACTCTTCTTATGTGAAATCGAAATAGGTAGGCTTTACACAATGGCTAAAAAGATAACACAGCAGCAAGGATACATTGCCAACTTATAGACCGGGCAAGAGGAGCAGAGGCTGTTCTGGCCACTCTTTCCCTGCAAAGACACGTGGTAGATCCACCATGTGCCATCCTCCTCCTCCTCGTCCAATTGTTCCCTTTTGCCACGTTGCCACCGGAGACCGCTAATTCTATTTAATAGCTAATTAAACCTTAATTCACGCTGCATTTGGCACAGGATTAAGGTCGGCGGGGGCGGCAGCCAGCAAAGGAACGGGAAGCTCTAGCCGCGGCCGTAATTATCGTTAATGAGCTCTGAGCTGTAATTTTATTAATTAAAAAAGGGGAGACGAGAGGCAGGGAAGTTGCTCTCCGCTGGCTCTGCTCTCTTGGGATGACCTTGCAAGGAAGGTGCCTCTTGATCCCAGGACGGAGAAGGACGAGGGCTGGGCACTGAGCTTCCGTTACCTGATCTGCAAAACTTAGGCCTTCGGGCACACAGGTGGGAGGATAATTCATTTTAATCCCCACGAACAAGCAGCACTATATAACATGATTTTTGTTCCTGGGTTACAACAACTTTGTTTATGTGGGACATCCTGCACAACCTTTTGATCTAGTTTTTCAATGAATAATTCATGGAGTCTCTGTTGGGTAATTTTCTAGCCCAGTGTTTCTCAACCTGGGGGTCGGGACCCCTGCGGGGGTTGCCAGGGAGTGTCAGAGGGGTCACCGAAGACCATCAGAAAACACAGTATTTTCTGTATTTTTCTAAGGGGGTTTTGTGTGGGAAGTTTGGTCCAATTCAATTGTTGGTGGGGTTCAGAATGCTCTTTGAGTGTAGGTGAACTATAACTCCCAGCAACTACACAAATGTCAAGGTCTATTTTCCCCAAACTTCACCAGGGTTCACATATGGGCAATTTGAGTATTCATGCCAGGTTTGGTTCAGCTCCATCATTGTTTGAGTCCACAGGGCTGTCTGGATGTAGGTGAACTACAACTCCCAAACTCAAGGTCAACGCCCACCAGACCCTTCCAGTATTTTCTGTTGGTTGTGGGAGTTCTCTGTGCCAAGTCTAGTTCCATTCCATCATTAGTGGAGTTCAGACTGCTCTTTGATTGTAGGCGAACTATAAATTCCAGCAACCACAACTCCCAAATGATAAAATCAATCCTCTCCACTCCACCAGTAATCAAATTTGGGTGTATTGGGTATTTGTGCCAAATTTGGGCCAGTGAATGAAAATACATCCTGCATATCAAATAAGATGAAGTATTTTGGCCACATCATGAGAAGACAGGAAAGCTTGAGAAGACAATGATGCTGGGGAAAATGGAAGGAATAAGGAAGAGGGGCCGACCAAGAGCAAGATGGATGGATGGCATCCTTGAAGTGACTGGATTGACTCTGAAGGAGCTGGGGGTGGGGACGGCTGACAGGGAGCTCTGGTGTGGGCTGGTCCACGAGGTCACGAAGAGGCGGAAGTGACTAAACGAATGAACAACAACAGAAACAAATATTTACATTACGATTCAGAACAGGAGCAAAATTACAGATATGAAGGAGCAACAAAAATAATGTTATGGTTGGGGGTCACCACAACATGAGGAACTGTACTAAGGGGTCGCGGCATTAGGAAGGTTGAGAACCACTGTTCTAGCCTCTAAATATACTTTAGCAAACTTCAGGCTACGCAGCAGAAGTGAGAACTGATATTATTAGTAACTCTGGAGAACGACGACAACAACAACAAAAACACAACAAAAACAACAACAAAAACAACAAAAACACATGTTTCTAGAGAGGAACAACTACTTACAAAGTAAGGACCATACACTTTCAAACCAGGAACAAAATATTTTTCAAATTTTGTTACATTGTGTAACAACATTGCACTTTTGAAAAAAAAAACCAAGGTGATCAGTTGAAACATTCACACCTAGCTCCAACGGACAAGAGTGCTTTGCCCCACCCTGGTCATTCCACAGATATATGAACCCTTTTTCCTAGTTCCAACAGACCTCACTACCTCTGAGGATGCTTGCCATAGATGCAGGCGAAATGTCAGGAGAGAATGCCTCTAGAACATGGCCAAACATACAACAGCCCAGTGATTCCAGCCAGGAAAGCATTCGACAATACAAAAGCAAACAAACAACAGTTTCATCCATTTTCAGGTGTTTTTTTCTGACCATTGGGTGCCGTTATGGGAGGGTCCGTTCCTCCTTGTTCCTGTTTTCTGGTGAATTTTCAGCTTTTGAGACTTAATATTTGTACTAAACAAGCCCTTTTCATTGGCACCAAATATGGGTATTAGCTACTAACTTGTAATGCATCTAAATTATAGAACTGATGCAGTTTGACACCACTTTAACTGCAATGGATCAATGTTGTAGAATCATGGGGAGCTGTAGTTTTACAGTCTGTAGCCTTCTCTGTCAAACAATGCAATTTGCCTCACCAAACTACAACTCCCAGGATCCCATAGCATTGATCCAGGGTGGTTAAAGTGTAGTCCAGGGGTCCCCAAACTACAGCCCATGGGCCGTATGTGGCCCGCCAAGGGCATTTCTCCGGCCCGCCGAGGGCATTTCTCCCTGGCGCCACTTCGCCAATAGCGGGAACCCTCTGCTCCGGCCGCTCTGCTCTCTGCGGCCACAAGTGTTCACATTTGGGCATATGGAATATCAGTGCCAAGTTTGGTCCAGATCTATCATTGAGTCCACAGTGATTATGGAGGCAGGTGAACTACAACTCCAAAACCAAAGGACACTGCCCACCAAACCCTTCCAGTATTTTCTGTTGGTCATGGGATAACTGTGTGCCAAGTTTGGTTCAATTCCATCGTTGGTGGGGTTCAGAATGCTCTTTGATTGTAGGTGAACTATAAATCCCAGCAACTACAACTCCCAAATGTCAAGATTCTATTCCCCCAAACTCCACCAGTGTTCACATTTGGGCATATTGAGTATTTGTGTAAAGTTTGGTCCAGATCCATCATTGTTTGAGTCCACAGTGATCTCTGAATGTAGGTGAACTACAACTCCAAAACCAAAGGACACTGCCCACCAAACCCTTCCAGTATTTTCTGTTGGTCATGGGAGAACTGTGTGCCAAGTTTGGTTCAATTCCATCGTTGGTGGGGTTCAGAATGCTCTTTGATTGTAGGTGAACTATAAATCCCAGCAACTACAACTCCCAAATGACAAAATCAATTTTTTTGAGTGAAGGACATACATTGGGTTGTTAGGTGTCTTGTGTCCAAAATTGGTGTCAATTCGTCCAGTGGTTTTTGAGTTCTGTTAATCCCACAAACGAACATTACATTTTTATTTATATAGAAGTGTGGGTTTTTGTTTTTGATTTGGGGGGGGGGGTTTGCACTGCAAATAATATATGTGCAGAGTGCATAGGAATTCATTCATGTTTTTTTTCAAATTATAATCCGGCCCTCCAACAGTTTGCGGGACTGTGACCCGGCCCTCTGTTCAAAAAGTTTGGGGACCCCTGTTCTATCCTTCTACAATGTAGATGCACAACAATGTCTCCATGAATACAAAGGGCAAATTACACTAGGTAACAACATTTCAAAAACATTTTCTGGTCCTGGTTTGAAAGTGTTATTTCATGTTTAAATGTGTGGTATGTACTTTGAAAGTAGTTTTTATACTCCAGAAACTTCGTTTTTGTGTCTGCCACAAACTCTGTCGAATGGGTTGAAATTTGATGAGATATTCGTTGAAAAATAGAGCCACATGTGCCGCAGGATGTCCTTCCCGCAAAAACAAAGTTTTTGCAGTTCAATACACTTTCCTATGCTTTTTAATGATAGAACCAATTAGGAAATGACATTCATAACCCAGGAACACAAATCTGGGGGATTTCAG